TCAACATTACGGCTCTATCTCTTCACCCTGTTATCGTATTTTGGACGCTTCATTTACCATTTTAATCTTATCTGCAATGAGTACTGATTACGCAACAATAAAATTAATTATTATTATATCCACGCTTCTATAAGCCATTCAGAAATTGTCGGGCGAGAGGCTAATTAGAAGTGCGAAATTTGCGAACGTTGAACGGGTTTGCTAAAATGTCGGCGAAACCGCGAAAGCATCGATAATAATGCGTGTTGATGGTCCATTTAGGTATTAACCTCGAGCATAATATTTATCTGCTCGCTCTAAGTAATAAATCCTCTTTGTGATTAATGTATCGAGGATTATTTCAGAAAAAGCGCTCTCTCACGCGCGGCTTCGACGTTTTTATAAGCCCGGATTTATTCTATTAATTTTCATCAATATGTATTCGACTATTAATTACGTATATACATGTAAAATTAATTTTTTGCATTTCAAAATTGCATTATAAAATACACTATATGTCCACGAAACATATCGGCCACTCTTGTAGCTGATGTTTTAAATTTAAATATGTATGTATTAAAATCTGCCTTGTTATATATACTTATTTTGTTTGCTGAAACTGTTATCTGCGATAAAACCCGAAGAATTATCAATAGGCATTCAGAAAATGTACGGCGCCACATGTTTATTAACATTATCTAGCACGATTACTCCTACATTTATCATAATAAACATGATGTAATCGTATAAATTCACGTGCTAGCGTGATCAATCTGTCAGCCGTCAATGTTTTCTCGCTATTTTTGCACAGTTATCGTAATCTTCATATTTAATTTCGAATCGTTTTTGGCTCGATCACTGATAAAGGAAAATCTTCGTCTAAGTGTCCTCATTATCGTAGCGGTTGGAGAGGGTAAGGAGAAAACGAAATCGACATGGACTTGCTCGCGCTAGCAAACGTCTCGTCGGGAAGTGGCAGTTTGCAATTAAACGACGATGTTATCGTAAAGGGCGGCCGGCTCGGTTCAGTGTGTACATGGCAGCGAATTAAAATGTAAATACTTGATTAAAGTTAATCCCGGGCAGGTGAATAAACCTGGTATACAAAGACAGAGAAAGAAATACGGCGATTCCATGGGGCGGTGCGACGGAGGAGGGGGGGGAAGGAAAGCGAGATATCCATAGTGGTCCTAAGGGGTGCTTTTTATTGCCGCTTTTTATTAGCTGAGTAGGTGTACTCCGTTCCGCCGTTGCCCCTCAACTCTATCCCCGAAGCGCTCCGAGCCACCCTTAGCCACCAACCATCCATCCCCCTCTCCCGTCCCGGTTTCCTCCCCCTCCGCCGTCGCTTCTCGCGATCCACCGCCTGCGGAGTCGTGCTGGCGTGTGGAGCGCGTCGGAGGGTTGATTAAAACTAACGTTGCGCCAAGAATTACCCTGTGAGATTGAAAATTAAATTAATATACAAAACCCCCGCCCACCCGGGGCTAATTAGTTATATGATAGTAATTAAAAGTTAAGTATATCTTCGTGCGCGGACGTTCTAGCGTACCTCCCGTCGCTCCCGGCTGTCATCCCCAAAACGGCCGTGAGCAATCCTTTAGCCTCGAGTGGATATCATACTTTAAAAAACAGTGTCGCTCCTGCTAACAAGCCTTTCGAATATTTTTGCGAAAGTCACGCTTTTGTTACATCTAATTATTAAATTAACTTTCACATATTTGAATTCATTCAGAGTTTATAACTCTTAGATTAACTTTTGCAATTTCGGTGTTTATAGTATATATACCGAAAATTCGGTATATAGTATATTTTAATTTACGATTTACAAAAAATATATAAGCTATGTATCGCTTACTATCTATATACTGTTTGAGTGGCGAAATTATTGCTTTTCAAGAAACTGTGTAAATTGGTACGAACAAACAAATATATTTATGGATATATCAAAAAATAAATGGATACGCACATATACACACAGCTGGCGTGGCATTAATTCTCGTTTGTTGCGTGCTATCTTTAGACGAGCGATCGGTATCATCGAGTACCTAATAGCAAAAGACAAATTACCTGGCCGCTGCGCGATCTCACACGGCGCAACCTTGATACGATAGCGCGCGTAAACGCGCCCTAGTTCTCTGCCAAACTGAAAATAGTCGGCGAACTAATATCGCGACGTTGGAAATATTTTATACCTACATACGTTGCGCCCGGCGCACTCATATTCGAGCAACTTTCCTTACGAGTTATAACGCGCGCTTTATATCCGCCTTCGAAAATAATTTCGCTAACCGTGATTCCTTGGGGGAGCTCGGCGGCGTATCGCAATAACGCCGGGGAGGGCGAAAAAAAAAGTCTCCGCGAGTCTCTGGAAAGTCGCGAGTCGATGCGCGCCGCGGCCATCACTTCGAATTTAGTATCGCGCCCGTTCCGTTATTTTCTGACGAGAAAATTTAGTCCGGACCGCTTAACAATTTTCGCGGTTTGGTAATGGACCTGCAGGGAAATTCCTGATATCATCTAAATGCAGGTTAATCCACAGAATTACAGAATTATGGAGAATTATAGACTAATACTCCTCATTTCTGATTACGCCAGCCATGAGGTTTTAATTGGTTCGATCGGCCGTTCCCGCGTATCTGTCATGAGATAGCATCATGTGAGATGTACAGTATCGTCCAGAAGTCCGCCAACTTCGGCTGCTATAGACAAGTCTTTTATATGCACATCGTATTTACAAAATTGTGGACGATAATGTGATCGACAAACAAGCCTTATCGCAAATGGGGCCCGTGATTTTGAGAGAAATCGGGTGGAGAAAAACCTCGCCAAGTTCGATAAATTCAGCGATAACGCGGATAAATCGTACGGAAACACATATCCGTTTGCGTCCGGTTGCGTCAATTTGCAGTTAATCTCGCATAACTAATAGAAAACGCGTGCCAAAGAAACGTTAATTGACCAATCTCGTATTTGTTTAACGCAACCCAGAAGCGTCGCGTTCGAGATATCTCTCATAAAAGATCTCACAAGCAAATGGAGCTACGCGATTTATTGTTAGATCTATAGAAATTGTATTGTAAAATTGGCTAAGAACCATGTTCACAGTCAACTTCTTTCTTAAATAAATCTAGAAATGGGGTAAGTTCGAGCTCGTTGTATCGAAAATCGAAGTAGCAGTTTCGCTAATTATAATTTAAAAATCAATGACACAATTTATGCTATTCCCCAGGAAGTCATAAGGGACGGTCTTTGCAAAGAATATTCGGGTTCGACTCGAAAGTTAAAAACCGCTTGGCGGCGGGCCAGGGCTCACGTAACTTGTTTTGCCAAAGCTACACGACGCTTGCCGGCCTTCGCCTTCCGCCACAACGGCGACGTAGACAGTCGATTTTCGAAAAAGGTTAACACCTAGTCGCCCGGATCCGACCGCGACGACCACGTGGCAGCGGACGCGCCTGCGTGTCCCACTCTCTCTCTCTCTCTCTCTCTCTCTCTCTCTCTCTCTCTCTCGCAATACCTTACTCGGAAATTTCTTCTCAGTCTTCTCGTAGCTATCGGTCGACGCGATGCTTCAGCCGCGAAAAACATTTCTGTCTACGAACAGCGAACAGAGACAAGAGGAATGCAGACGAGTCGGCTCGTCGAGCGAAACACTCGGGAGAGAATCGCAGAATTTGAAATATTCCCGAAAGGTCCCGTAGATCCAAGAGCATACGTTCACGTTGGTGGAGACTTTAGGGTCCAAGAATCTAAATCAGCATTTAAAGATTACGAGGGTGCAAAGGATTTAACGATCTAAGAACGAAAATGTGTTTAAAGATCCGAGGAGTTGAAACACGAAACCGTAAGCTCACACAGTTGTCACGAATTAGAACTGCGACAAACGCGTGCCACGAACTGTGCTGGACATTAAACCCCTGAGGGTTAACGCCACTCCTGTGAGTACAAACGCGGGAACTTTGGTCGAAGAACGAGAAATATTTTGATTGCTGCTGTGTAAACGAGGACTTCACACGTGGACACTAACCCTTCCCGCCTACAAAGACAGGCTATATAGGGGCAATGTTTTCCCATTTACAGATAGATGACAAGTGTCTCAAAAGAAGAATCATCGATACTATAGACACGAATAGATATCGCACGAAGCGAGCGAATGGAGAAAAATCCTCAATCAAAAAATATAATCTCGTGTTTCCGAACTTTTTTGAAAACTGAAAATTATATTTGCAATGAATAGTTTAATTTTTAATCACATATTTGCCACGAAACATGAAATGTTTAACTACGGCATGTATAAATAAATGAGATTCGGATCAAATCATATAAGAGCGATTTTTAATTTATATATATTGTACGCACAAATTTAATAAAATGTGAATTTATATTCGCGCAGAAGCGAATAATTTTTTAATTTATATTATCTGCAAAGCTTTTAATATTTAATTAATAAACGCATGAATAAGTAAAATCTGAATTCATGTGACCGGCCCATTAATTTTTCATTTATATATTTTCCAGTAAATAGAGATGGTGCTTACATTTGCAATGGATATTTTAATTTTTAAATACGTTAGAAATTTATGAATATCAGTTAAATTTATATGTAATGTACGCAATTTTTAATATACATATAATATATATATGTATAAATATATGTAGGTACATATGTATGCAAATAAATAAAGACTAAAAGAATATTTAAATATGAAGAGGAGACAATTCCTTAATTCTTTATCCCTATGATTCATGAGTACATATTTTGACGATTGATTAATTGATTAATATAAATCTTCCTCGACTTCTAAAGATAAATTTCGCAAAAAAAAAATCCTAGAAATCCTAGCGTCTGAAATTTCATGCCTACAATTGATTGGTTTCTCCGTAACGCATCGATAAATCGCCTACAGGAATCGGATCATCGAGTCGGAGTGAGAGTTACGCGCTTATCGGCTACGTCAATCTTCCACGAAGTGATAAAAAGCTAAGTTATCGCGAGCATATACATGATATACACTCACCACGATCGCCGGCATGCGTAGGCTGTTGAGCTGATCGAACCGCTAGATCCTCGGCAAGATCGTGAACCAGCACTCTTTCTCACTTTTAGAAGACGACGACGACGACGACGACGACGACGACGATTCCACGTCGCGAGTCTCGTAGATCGGTGATTTCCTCACGACTCTCTTTCTCTCTCCCCCCTCTTTCTCTCTCTCTCTCTCTTTCTCGCGCTGCTCCTCACACACGGCACACACAAGCGATCCTCACGGCGCGCCGCGCAGCGACGCAGCGACGCGCGACGGCATCGCGAGCAGGTGTCCACGGGACGAGTCCTCGTGCCTCGCGCTCGCGAGGATCCTTCGTCCTGTCCTCCTCCTCGGGCTATCGATCTCGGGAACGCACGCACGTCGCGCTGCTCGTCGACCACCGCGAGCGCGCCCGCCAATGCTCCAGGCTTTCGCTTCTCGGTCTCGGACGCGCGCTCCGCTTCGAGGTTCCCTTTCGATCAATGGGACGGTGTGTGTTGGTACGTTTTCCTCGTACGTCGATCCATGAAAGATCGTGCGTCACTGATCCGTGTTTAATCAATGGTGATTACATTATATGGACTAAAATCTCTTCTGTTGTCTTCTAATCGAGCTATCACGCGACAATTGAGACTAATGTCAAAGGCGATTTTCCTCCCTAGGATCGCGAAACACGAGGTGAATTGCGTGATCAATCGATACGACTCCTGCGACACCTTTTCGCTGATTTCCTACGTTCTTAGATTCCCGATTAGCACTCGGAACTGGCTTGTTTCCAAGTCGGTATTGGATCAACCGGAACGATCCTCGAATCTCTCCTCGATCGCAAACACATTTCAGCACTCCGAACGCACCTCCGTGATCCGCGAGACCCGACTGATTCGAACGCGATTGGATCACTGAGAATGTACCGTGATCGCGCGTAGAATTAACTCTCAGGATACTTTCGTGTGTGCTCCGAACAGCAAACGGCCGCCGCGTGTACGCGCGCCTCCGAGAACGCGAAGAGAGCTCAGCGGAGAGCTCGGAGTGTGACTCTTACCGACACATTCCGCGAACTGCACTGGTACTGGCTTCACTGGCCTCGACTTTTAATCCCGCGGACCCTCGCTCCGTCTCGCGCACGCGGGCGCTTAAGTCAAGGTAAACCGGAACACGGCGAGTGAGCACGAGAGCACGTCGCGGGGAGCACACCGCGCGACACGCAGAAAACGGAGCAGCGACAGACCGATTCGCGCTGCACGATGTCGGGCGAACGAGTGGCGGCCGGAGGAGCCGCCGCGTCGTCGGCTTTCCCCCACTACGCGGCACGCATCAAAGTAGCGGGGCAAGCAGGGGAGAGCGCGAGAGAGCGCGAAAGAGCGGCGCGCGCGGTAAGGACGAGGACCGGGCGCGGGAGGGATGGCGCGCGGTCTTCGGAACCGCAGCGGTGGAGGGAGCGGTGGATAGATGGACGTCAGGGGCGTGAGTGAAGGAGGGGCATCGATACCGGTCCCTCCACGCCGCGGGGCCCCTTCCCCCCCAGCCAGAGGCGCCCCTCTGCGCCGCGGCGCGCGCTCCACGCGACTTTGCGAGTGAAACATTTCGCGGGTTTTGTGGACTGGCGAGAGGGGTAGGTGGAGGGAAAGAGGGACTAAGGGGCGCGAGGGGCGCGAGGAGCCGAACAAGAGAGAGAGAGAGGGTGAGGGTGAGGGTGAGGGAGGGTGAGGGAGAGTGAGAGGAGCGAGTGGAAGAGAGGATTGGGTGGGAAGACAACAGTATTCCCGTTAATTGAACGACTCGCGCGGGGCGGAGGAGCTCGTCGCGGGGAAGCAGAGGGGAGGATTACTTGCAGTAATTACTTATTTTTATTACGCTCCGCCTCGTCGTGTCTCGCGCCAGCGAACGGCCGCGCTCTCGTAGCGACATGTTAGAAATCTTTTCTCGCGTCCGCGATATTGCGAGACGATGGGCTACGTACCGGAAACCCGCCTCGAGTCTCCCCTAACTAAGCGTCTTAACGTTAAATTAAGGTGAGAGAGAGAGGGAGAGAGAAAGACGAAGAAGGAAAAAAAGTGAGGGACGGTGTCTACAATGTCACGTTGTTCGTAATTTTATTCAAGCTTATAGCAAGGATAATATAATTCTGAATGGTTTACTCACAAATGCACACATGTATAAGCAATACAATCTAGGACGTAAAATCATCATTTTCAACAATTTATGTCTCTCTAAATTTATATCACGAAAGAAATTAATTGTTTGATGTTATTTTATTGAAAAATTCGATCTTTATTTTCTTCGAGTCGAGCAGCGCGACTAATCGTGCGACTATGGCATTCCCTAATCGGGCCAACCGGATACTTGAGGCCATCCGACGGGTGAACGAACCGGTAAGGAACTGGATAAAACCGTTTCGGATCGACGGTAAGTCGGTATGCGATCGGCGTCAGTTTTTCGAGCGATTACGTAGGAACACGTCGAGTCATTATCTTCGTTCTTTTTTTACCGTGCCGAACCAGGTCGACTTATAAAGCCAATTTACATACGCGATATGCATTTTCAATATTAACTTCGTTTCCTTGTCCAACTCAGTTTTCCATTTAATGATCGCTTTAGCCTTGAAACGCGCTAAAAGTATAATAAACATTAGATTAGAGCGCAGTGACACTAACAACGCTATCGATAGTCGTATAATCTGTGTGTGTCTGTGTGTGTGTGTGTGTGTATGCGCGCGCGCATATGCATGGAGCGATACGAATAATACTTGTATCTTGTTGTGAATTGATATGTTAATTCATCGAACACGTAACATGGATCGATTGTAGCAGCAATTACTTCAAACGTAAATTCAACATGACGTATTTATACGTATATAGAACAGATTTGTGCATTCTAGGATTAAATTCCAGAAGTGGAAATGGGTAAATAGCCCTCCCGAGTTTCAACCGAACGGTTCGCTCCGGTCCTCCGCAATGTTCACGGTTGCTGGACCAGAGTGCACTTGTCAAAACTTTTATCTTAGCTCGCATCTACCAGCGAGAGAAAAACACGGAACGGAGGTGAGGACAATGGCTGGTCCTGCGGATGGTCCTGCCGGAGGAGGGCGAAGAAAAAGGAAAAAAAAAGAAAAATCAGCCGACAGAGGTCTCGGATAATTGCGGCGGATAGTTCGGAAAGGCGCCGACTGGCCCTCCTTGGCACGCCTGTCAGAAGATATTAGGATTTCTATCGCGGATCCTGCCGTCCGCAGGACTCGTTAACGGATCTTAGGATTGTTCCTTTCGTAATCCAATAAGGATGAGATTCTATGCCGCGACTGTTTTTTTTTTCTAGTCCGTTTGAAGAAACCGCCAATCGACCAATGGACGGAGAGTCGCGGCTCCAACTTTCGACGATCAACCCCGCGGCTAATTATAAAAATTAAATTACTTAAATCTAGATTACGTCTTGGATGTTTTGCATCCAAATAACTTACTCAAAAGAATCTGTACGGATCGCCAAATATCATATTCAGAAACAAGGCAGAGATATCATATCGCGACTCGTGACGCCCGCAGGTATATGTCTTGCGGTCACGTGGTGGTGACCTTAGCTCGTTTCTGCTCTAGGGTGGTCGGCCCTTTGGACAGGTCAGTTCGGGATTCGGAAGCTGTATTGGGGCGGGGCGGACGTCAGATGGAAAGCAGTTCTAATTTGATACCAAGTCGGGAGGCCAAACAAACAGCTACGTCTGATAGGCTTCCAACTGACATATCAACCGAAGCTTTGATGAGAATTACTACGTTATTATAATCATAACGTATATAATAATTATCATATTCATAACATTTTGCTAAAGAATTTAAATTTAAATTTCTAAATTATTAATTTCTATTATTCTAACGGAGAATATAATACCCTATAAATTTTCTCTAAATTTTAAATCCACGTTCATATTACAAAGGGTAAATTTTAACTAACAGTAAACGGTAAACGGCACATAATGAACCGATATGTTCGCTGTCCCGCATTATCACGTTCCCTTGCGGGAGAAGGCTTCGAAGCTTCTCAGAGGCCTCGTCGATTCTCGCGGGCGACTCTTGCTCGACCTTTTTTCCGCAAACTTCCGAAGGTCATTACGAGGTTCCCGAGAACGCTCGGGACTCGTAAAGCCTTGTCGTAAAAATCGCCAAAATACACGCACCTTACATGGTAGCCTCGTGTAGGCGGGTGTCATATCCCCGCAAAATCATTGCCACTAAAAATCAGGGGTTTCCGCAGCAAATTTATAACGGTCGTCCAACGGACGGCATCGTGTGTGTGCCCGTCAAAGGTGTTGAATATTTCTCGCTATAAAAGGAGCAACATGCTGCTTATTAAAATCAAAACGCAAGAAGCGCATTCCAATTCATTTAGAAGACGTGTTTCCGCCGTTCGGAGTAAATTTTGAAATTCTCAAGATTAGTAAATCTTTACTAAATCTGTTCTTCAATGTTTCCATTATTATAAATTGTTTTCTAATAGCGAATATTATTGACTAATTGTAAGTAATTTAATAGTTCCTAATTAGCAACATTTTTTAATTTAATCAATTTTATCCCGAGAAAATAAAAAGAAATATGTAGGTACGCTGTATTATTCATGGATGCTTACTCTATTTTCGATTCGATTGGAATTTCGACAAGTTTTTCAATCGACAATGCGTATCAGCTTTGAAGGAAATCCGTCGCTTTTAGAAAATGCGAGCGGCAACAAAAAGTGCGGGTGCACGTGGAGCTTGAAGATCGGCCGGGACTTTCCCGGAGCAAATATGTTTTCGCGGTAAATTTGGTCGAATAAATGTGACGTCGTGGGGCACCCTTAGCTTTATTAGCCTTCCCTCGTCCCCTCTCGCCGTCCCTTTGCCGCGGTTCCCTCGGCCCGCGAGCCGACTCGATGCATGATCCCGATCCGTATATAATGTGCATGCGCGGAGATTTGCGAGGCATTATGCGCGCCCGCCTCCTCGAAATGCAGCTCGCATATGCGAGCGCTCGAGTACGCTTCGAGTGTTCACGTAAGCTACGTAGGAAAAATATGTTCGACGGGGTGCACTTGTGCGAGGGTGGGTAATTGGCTCTCTTGATCGCAGGACCGCTTTTCAATGTCCCCCCCGTCCCTTCCCGCCCTTCCCCGTCGACCTTCCTTGACCGTCCGCGTTGCTTCCGCCATTTTTGGTTCGTGCCTGACCCTCATTGTGATCCTATTGATGGATCGTTTCTGATTTCGATACCCATTCGTACAAAATTCGTGGCGCATTGTTTTCAATTATTTTCCCGACTTTCAGTGCGTTTTTATTTCTCCCTTTCCAATCTAGAATTATGCATATTGCATTACATTAATTAACGGAGGTTAACAGGACAATTTAATAAACGTTACAAAAGCAACCAATTCAATAAAACGCGGCGGTATTTTAATTTACGCCCGATCAATTATCGACGTGATTTACTGCGTAACGTAAAATGATGTGGCCGTTGTATGCTATTCGTTAAAAAGTCAAAATCTCGCGACACAGGCTAATAAAAATGCGTCGTACACGCACAACAGCGCACACGGGAAAAAACATTACATGCGAGCGAGTTACGCGGAGCGATAATAGGAAAATACCGCCGACGCGGTCGCGTTCGGCTTCGACATTAAGTCCGCGATGGCGATAATGATAATAAAGAGGCGGCCAACTCGGAAGACAGGTACATCCCTCGCGAGGGTGGTGGTGCAGGGGTGGCACGCGGGGAACGAGAAAGCGTGTCGAGCCATTTCGCGCCGAGGGATGACACCCGAACACGCGGGAAACAATGCCGTGACACGATGTAGGTAATACAATGCAGTGAATGGTCGCGCGTATCATTATTCTGGTGCTATTGTTGGCTGCCGGATGAGAGACATTTTTTTAGGATATCCTTCGACGGAACATCGTAGACGTAACAACTGTACTAACACTAACAATAACAATACCAATAATAGAGTCGTAGTAATAATATTTTCTTCTTTTTTAAACCTAATACGTCTTTCTTCACTTTTCAAATCTGTCTCTATCAAAATAAGAATTTAGAAAGAAAAATCTATTTTTTTACGGATGCTTACTGCATTTAATGTATTATATATACGCTATTGGATAAAAGAAATCGTTTTATGTGCGTCATTTTTCACTGTAGTGACGGTATAATTTGAACATCCATCCGCGAAACGCATTGTGACCGAAGAGTAGGAGAGAAGAATTTCACTCGCGAAGATTAAATTGGCTAGCGGGT